GTGGAGTTAGACTCTTGGGTATCACGCCTGACTTCTCTTTGTCACTGACAACGAACAATCAATCAGTAGGATACTGTTAATAAGTTCTGCCTAATTATGCTCTTGGAGTTCCTCCTAATCATCTCTTCATACTTCTTCTTTAGAACTTGATTCAGGCATCCTATCTTCTGAGAAAACTTCCAGATTCCCTCCTCCTCGGTCTGGGTGGAGTTTCTCACTTAAGTGCCTCTCTTCAATGCACTCATAATATCTTGTATCTATCTCTCTGCATTTTCACATTTCCTTAGAATTGCCTGATTATAAGTCTGTCTCCTCCACTAGATTATGAAGGCCTTGAGGGCAAGGATTGGATCTTATTAATATTTGTATTTTCAGTGCTTTGCCCACTGCCTGGCATCTGGTCCACACAAATCTCTGCTGAAGGGAAGCCTGGATGTTGAACGTGCTGTTGAATATGTTTTGAACGTGTTTGACTAGAACATCTTGATGGGAATGTCCACGAGTCAGCTGGAAATGTGGGTCTGGGGCTCTGGGAAGATGTCAGGGATGCAGAGACAGACTGTGAGTCATTTGCAAAGAGGTGAAGCAATGAGCCTGGCTAGAGAAGAAGACTGGGGGCAGGACCCTGGGGAGTCCTCAGATTTGGAGAGTAAGAAAGAGACACTGGTGAAAGTTCCAAGAAGGAACACTCAGAAAGGTGGGGAACACCCAGGCTGCTAAAATGGCAGAAAAACCAAGAACGTTTGAAGGAGACAGGATGGTCAGCAGGGTCAAAGGTTGCCTGGAAGTCAGAGGGATGAATGAGGAAAGGTCTTTCCTATGGCATTTGGGAGATGGTTCCTGAGCCTTGTGAGATGAAGCAGGTGGCCAGGCAATAAGGGATAAAAGGAGACTGAGTGGGGAGGCGGTGGAAGCACCAGTGCCTCTTTTGACGTATGTGGAAAGGAGGGATATGAAAACAGGACCTGAGCAAGTAGCAGAGTGACATAAATCTGATTGGAAGGAAGTGACTGAGCATGGGCTCCAGGCTGGATTGGAGTCAGAATGAGAATGAGAGATGAAAAAAGCAGAGAGGGCTGGCAACTGAAGTTCATGAGAGGTCACAGCAGGTCTCCGTGGCACGGAAGAATCTCTCTTAGTGCACTCCTCCCCAGCCTTACAGAGCAGCATCCCTCTACACCAATGCAACCTCATTCCTTCTGATGGGTTTGGAAGGAAAAAGAATGCTTGCTAGAAAATGTCTGTGGGTGCTTTGTTTCCAAAAGAGCCTCACAACCCCTGTTCCCTGATGGACTTCAGGTCTTAGGGACCTGAAGATCTCTAAGAGCAAATTCTAGCCTGTCTACATCTGTGTGCCCTCACCCATGTTTGAGTCTGGAGGATTCTGAGTACTGTCACTTCTCTATCTGTGGGTTCTGCATCTATGGATTCAACCAACTGCAGATCAAAAATATTCAGAAAAAAATTCCACAAAGTTCTAAGAAGCAAAACTTGAATTTGCCTAGTGCTGAGCACTATGTTGAATCCACGCAAATGAAGTGATGTGTAGGCATTGTATTAGGTATTATAAATAATCTAGAGATGATTCAAAGTATTTGGGAGGATGTGTGTAGGTTTTATGCAAATGCTATGCCATTTTATATAAGGGACTTGAGCATCCATGGATTTTGGTACCCACAGGGGATCCTGGAACCAATCCTTCATAGATACGGAGGGATGACCGTACATGGATTTCTCTCTGTGGCTTATGCTTCAGTGTCCACAGTTTCTTTCTCCTCCTCCTCTTTTCATTGCCATTTGAAAACAAAATGACTCTAAGGTGGTACAGGAACTCACAGAGCAGCCTCACACATCTGGGATTGTCAGTCTGGAAGGCATGCATGGTGCAACACCATGGTCTGAGCAGCTGAACAAAGATGGCCTTTGTCCATTGGTAACAGCTGCTAGGGAAGCTCTTTCCTTTTTGGGGATTTGGTAGTGGGGCATTTGGAGGTCTTTGAGGAGCCTACAAATGTCTGCCTCCAAGGTGCAAGTCTAGTTGGCTGATTAACCAGCATGGGTCAGCAAAACATACAAATGTGCATTTTCCCCACGGAGGAAGCCAGGTCATTGCCTTCAGTCCGTGAATGTTGTCCGTGGTTGTATCCTCTGGAGTTACACATGCCCATGAGTTGCCAAGAGGCAGTCAGGCAGAAGCTGCATGACATTCTCACCACCCCACTGCTCTTTGAGCCTGTAGCTCCTTCTCACTCTGATTTATATTTTTATATTTTTTTCCTCTCATGCTTTTAAATTCTGTCTGGGCAATGGCTGAGCCATAAGTATTAAAGCCAGGGTCAAAAGCCAGGAAGCTTTTGCTTAGGAGGTCCCTTCTGGGATGGGGGTGGACAGGGAGGGTCGGCTCCATGGGCTCAGGACCCTACTCTGTGTGAGGCCCTCCTCTTCTCTTTCCATTCGACCAATTCTGTCTTTTCCACTTGACCACTTCCTCACCTGAGGTGCAGACACTTGTGGGATTGGAAACACAGCTCCAGTTTTAAAATATGCTTCCTTCCTAGAGTACAGATGATTCAGATAAAGCTTCTACCTTTAATTTTCCCTATTTTTGGTTTTCTATTGATTCCTTGGATTTCACAGAGAGGGCTTATTTGATTTGGGGATGGATTATGCAATTACTTTACATTTTATCTGAGCAACACAATGCAGGCAGAAGTGGATTTTATTTATAAAGTCTGAATTGTCAGGATGATGCCACCCACAGAGACCTAACTTTGGAGAAGACAGGGCCCTGGGGGGCATGCAACGAGAACCGCAGTTCTCTGTGTACCGGGGACTCTGTCCTGGCAGGAGCTTGGAGAGCAAAGCTTGTATTGCAGAACAAGGGCTTGTCTTTCCTTCAGCCTTAGCCTGATCCATTTGTCACTTTGGATTATTTCTCTTATACCTGCACAGGGTGGCAACATCGTGAATTTTGAGGATTCCCAGCGTGCTTTGTTGTGTCACGAAACACAAATACCATTTCCTTTCAGCTCTGGCTTTCACAGGGTCTGCCCGAATACATTTGTGTTGTCTCCAAACCTGGCACTTTAAAACAAATGAAAAGGTCCCTGAATGACAAACACAGCACACATAGTGGGAAGGCCATTTGCAGGGAAATGGTTGCAAGGAGAATCGGTACTTTATGAATATTCACTGAAGTGTAAACCTGCACATTGCTCATACGCTTTTCTGCATTCTAATTTGCCCATGAATGCAAATGAGTCCTATGTAAAATAGAGAGGGGGAGAGCAGGCTCCTCACAGAACACCTAATTGAAAGATGTTTGTACATCATGTTTGATATTTAGTAAACAGACAGACAAATCCAATCGTTTTCCAAATGAGACCTCAGAAACAATAAAAAATAATGATCACAAAAACCTGGAGAGTAGAAACGTGCAAAACTAACTGCTTTCCTAAAAAGGGGGAATAATTACTCTGTCTCAGAGTGCAATTAGTATCCTAATTACACAAAGGTGTATGTTGCTTATCTCTTCAGTAAACCCTTTGTTAAGATTTAGCTGTTTCCAGGAGCCATACAGCAGAGGGGCTGGGTTCTGCACTTGGGATAGTCAATAGATGTCCTGTGGGAGAGGGGCCCGGATAGATGGGACTTTGGGAAGTACCTTCGTATTTCTTTTAGACTGACAGATGGTTTCAGTCCGGGTTGGACTGCCTGCTGCTGCTTTCAATGCAAGAGTGCTACCTTTTTGGATTCATGAAAGCTACTCAATCAAAGATAAAAAGGCAGGCCAGTGTGTGGAATCAATAAAATCTCTACTTTCAGCTGGAGTGTCTAATAGTAATTCTTCTCGTGTCACTGCCTGGTTAAACAGTCATACTCCTGCTAAAAGCCCTATAAGACATAATAGATTCATGTGGCTTTGCTCTATTGTGTTGCATTTGGCCTGGAAAAGGGGAAAGGGGCTCCTGTTTTTCTAAAACAAACCAGACACTGAAGCATTGTGTATCAAAATGTATTCACCCATTGCAAATTTTCTCATTAGAGCAGAGGGGATTTCTTTGCATACCTCTTGTGGAGCTATTTCCAGACATCAGATATATTCATTGCAAACCCTCCCTTGGAGATGTTTTAGTACCAACTCTGAGTCATTCTGCTTACGTTTAAATGCATTTTTTTTTTTGGTAGTGGTGGTGGTAGTTGTTCTGGAAAAATCATAAAAATAGGTACTTTTGATATCAAACAGATCCAGTTGTGCACATTGAGATCTGTCCCTGAGAAATGGACAGCAAATGCCAACCATCTCAGAGCTGGACTGGACAGCACCCGTGGCTGTCATGGCAGACAGTCTTAGGCAGGGCCTTTGGTGATGGCTTCTCATGAAACAAGTTTACCTTGGGCTGGGAGGCAGGGTTTTCCTTAGTCTGTGAGTGCAGCATGGTCCAGATCTGTGTGTAATTCCCTCACCCTACCCCAGCACACTCATGGGCCCTTGAATAGTCCTGAACCCATGGCCAATATGGTGGTGAATCATGGAGATGTTGGGTGCTTTTCCTTCCAATCTTTCCTCCTTCAGGCTTACAGAGAAAAAATGAAGTATTTGTGCCTGAGTTGAGAAGCATTAAATGGAATTGGCTGGGTCACCACCCACACATTGGTGTCCAGGGATTTTGAGTGAATGAGAATCACAGAGCATGCTATTCGCCATCTGGGGTGAGAAAGACGTGATGGGACAAGCGGCACTCTGTTGGCCATTCCAAGCAGGCCCTTTGATCAGGAGTGTCCTTTGTGAAGGCTTCTCCTGAACCCTCCTCTCCCACGTTCCTCCAAACCCAGGCCCCTCCCAACCCTCTGCTGCTACCCTCCGGAGGTTTGTTGCCAGCCATTGGGTCACACCTGAGCCCTTTCTGGAGTATCATGTGAGCCTGCAGAAGAGAGGAAAATATCGAGCGTCTTTCCCTTGGCTGCCCCTTCGAGCTCCTCCCCAGGAAAACTTCAGCAGATGTAGACAAGATTTTAATAGCTACATAAAAAGAAATGCATGACAATCTCATTAGGGGAGCCATAATGGCCTGTTGGAGGATCTCAGAACAGACAATAGATCAACGTCCAGCTTGTTGCAGCATCCCTAACGATGGCAGTTTGCCCCTCCTCATAATGGCCCATTCATCACCCATTTGACCTCGTTCCCAATAATACTTTGCCCTCACTTGAATCAGTCTCCCTTTGAGGCCCTCCACAATTGCTGCCACCACTCTTTAAGTGGGGCTAAATCAGAGCCAGTAAGTGACAATCATAAAAAAGCAGTTAGTGGGCCACCCCACGGCTTGCCCGATATGGCACATTAGGGCTCTTTCTTTTCTTTTCCCAGCAGTCTTCGGCCGCACTTCATCCCGAGCCTAGCATCTGCAGGAGGCCAAGGCTGGTGGACCGGGGGTCCGGGATTTCCAACCACCTGCCAAGGAAAAAGGAAGTCAGTGCTGAAGGAGGGAAGAAGGGAAATCTACATATTCTGCAGACCTTCTTATTTATCACAAGTGAGGGCAGGAGAATCAGGAGAATCATTATTAATGGTATCAGGCCATTGTCTTTCTTATGTGCCTCTGAGGGCAGCAAACATAATTAAAGTCCAAGCTGAGTTCATTTCTCCCCCTGGAGGCTTAAATGGCCTGGAGTCATTTCCTATTCCTCCCTTCCCACTAGCACTAGTCCTCCCTCACTGCTGAAAAATTCAACATTCCTATAAACTACAGTACTTTGTAAAGGTCACACACCAGTTAATCTGAACCTGGGGTCTGGCACCAGCCCTGCTCACGGTGGCTGCGAGGATGGCATGCAGCCCGGTGATGTGGGGCCCGCCTGCGGAGAACGGAGAGGGGCACGAGGCAGGCACGCATAGCTCTTTAAATATTGCTGAGCATTTCCTGGATCAGCATGATATTTAAAGATTTTTGTTCCACCTGCCTGCGAAATATAGAGTCCAGCCGAGAGGCAAGAAAATGAATATGGATTTCTTGCCCTTTCAGTGTATTCACTCCAGAAAATAGCCATTTCTTTTTTTTTCGTTTTGCTGAGCTGAAGACTGCAGGCTTCAGGCAGCCACGATTACAATCATGCATCATGAATGAAATGTGCCGTTTGGAGAAAATCAGCCACTCATTCCATTTCAAAACTCTACACAAATCAATAGTGCTAGCAGAGTTTTCAGGCTGAGCTGGACCTTGTGCTTGCACTAAAGCACTTTCTCAACATACTTCTGATACTCAGAGCAGCAGCCAGGGGCAGGCTCTGAGCCTGGGGCTCCACTGAGTGGAGTATCAGCCTTCAAAAGCTGGGTCTGGTTGGGCACGTGGTGAGGAAGGGAGACTTAGTGCTGATGGACCGAACTCTGGCAGGGTCAGAGAACATGCTTTCTAGTTTGAGTTCCGCCTGAACTAGCTTTCTATTCATGCTTTATTCAAAAAACATGTACTGTGGCCAGGCACAGTGGCTCACACTTGTAATCCCAGCACTTTGGGAGGCTGAGGTGGGTGGATCACTTGAGGCTAAGAGTTCGAGGCCGCCCTGGCCAACATGGTAAAACCCCGTCTCTATTAAATATATAAAAATTAGCCAGGTGTGGTGGCACACATCAGCTACTGGATGGCTGAGGCATGAGAATCGCTTGAACTGGAAGTCAGAAGTTGCAGCGAGCCAAGATTGCGCCCTTGTACTCCAGCCTGGGCAATAGGAACTCTGTGTCAAAACCAAAATGAAGCAAAACATCTATTGCGTACTTCCTGTGTGCCAGGCACTGTACTAAGCCCTTGGGATGTAAGAGCACACAAGATAGACACAGACTTTACCTTCATATGGCTTCTAGAGGTTAATGAGGGAGATAGAAAAATTACCGGGCAGTTATGATGCAGTGTGATACTCTTAGGACACTGGGAACATTTTCATCTCTCTCTGGTTCCTCATTTTCTTATAGGTGAACTGAGGAGGTTTAAATAGATAAACTCTCAAGGCATTCTCCCATTCCAGGATTCTAACCAATCAATAGGGCAATTAGACAATTGGGCATTCTGATGTCACCTCCGCTCCCAGTGCTGGACAAGGCTCTCGATCCCCTTGTTCTCAAGGTCACCACAACCTAGTTGCAGACATGGGACTCATGCAAATGAAATGTAAATTCACAGTTGAGGTGTCAGATAAATGTTACAGACTTTGAGAAGTTTTCCCCGTCCAGAGAGTTTCCTGGGAGTTCAGAGGAGAGAGAGAGGGTTAAGCACCTTATCAATGTCAGACACACTTTTTTCTGCACCTTCTTGACCACTCCCTTGGCTCCCATGACTTATGTTACTTATATACGGACAAGAATCTTAAATCTACGTCTCCAGCCTAGATATTTCTCATAAGGTTTTCCCTTGGCTATCTCCTCCTTATTTTCCATTTCCCATTTAAGTACTATTTGCTCTACAAGCCTTCTTCATTTCCTTGGACCAAGTTAGGTCTCCTATCACATGTTCTTGTGGTACCCGGGTTTTTATCAGAGTACTACCACACATTTTTGTAATGATTTAATGAACTCTGTCTTCCACAAGCCTGCAAGATCCTCAAGGGCAGGACCATGTATGTCTATCCAACTCACTGTTTTTTCCTTAGGCTTGGCATTTTATCAGTGTTTGGTGAGGACTTTGTTAGACAAATGAATGATGATCTAATTCTTCTAGAGAGTACATTTACCTTTCTTTAAGGCATGCATCCAGGCCGTTTCAGCCTATTTGGGTGGTTCATCCCAGAGTAAAATGAAACAAAAGTGGCACTGTATCAATATATTTCCAACACAGTGTAGTGTCTTAGGCAGAGTTTCCTCAGAATCAGAGATTGAAACAAGACTTGGGCTGAGCATGGTGGCTTACACCTATAACCCCAGCACTTTGGGATGCCTATGTGGGCAGATTGCTAGAGCCCAGGAGTTCAAGACCAGCCTGGGCAACATGAGAAGACCTCGTCTCTACAAAAACCAAAAAAACCTAGCTGAGCATGGTGGTATGTACCTATAGTCCCAGCTACTCAGGAGGCTGAGGCGGGATGACAGATTGAGCCTGAGAGGTCAGGGTTGCAGTGAGCCATGATTATGCCACTACATTCCAGCCTGGGCAACAGAACAGGTCTCTGTCTCAAGAAAAAAAAAAAAAAGAAAAGAAAAAAAAAAGAAACAAGGCTTAAGTGTTAATGTGTTATTTGGGAGGTGCAATCTCAGGGCAATGGAAATGAAGAAAAAGAGAAATGAAGCAGGCAAGGACAGGCAGCAAATACAAGGTGTTGAGTTGCTGTGTTGGCCACTGCTTCATGGTGTGTATGTGGGCACATACACACACAACGACAACAACAACAACAAAACGACAAAAAACCCACAGCCAGTTGCTCAGCAGGCACACCTGCTCAGCCATGCAGAGTGTTTCTAGACAGACCAGACAGGAAAAACGTGCCTCAAAACAGTCCTTGGGAGGAGGAAGGGAAGGAAATTTGTCCTCCCGTTGCTACCTCTATCAGTCAAAGTTAAGCCCCATGGGGAGAGAACTTCCCTGTATTTATGGTCTGTTTTATCTGACCCTTTTGAAAGCCACTCAAGAGGTCTAAGCCCATGTGCTATGAAGTGACATTTCGTCCAATTCACATGTATGCAGAAAAGAGTAAATATAGCAGGCCAGAGACTGTAAACCTTAAAAAGGTCTGCTTGCAATGTTGACTGTTGGCTGGCATCTGGAAACTTAGATTTCAGGGGGATTCCTACTATTCCTTGCTAAGAATGGCTCACCACGCCAAAAAGTGTGGCTGCATTCTGCCATGTAGTTTATGCTGAACACCTGCTTTCCTTTCCTTTTGGGAGTCTGGAATTTTGGTGTGTGCTGGCAGAGGGTACTTTTGTGATCAGCCCCCAATAAAAGCCCCCAGGCACTGAGTCTCTAATGCACTTCCCTGGTAGACATCTTTCTCATGTCTTGTCACAACCTACTGCCAGAGGAATGAAGTGAGTCCTGTGGGACTCTACTGGGGGAGCACTCTTGGAATCTTGTGCTTGCACTCCCCTGGACTTCACCCCCATGTGCCTCTTCCCTTTGTTGATTGTGCTTTGTATCCTTTTGCCACAGTAAATCCTAGCCATGACTACTATATATGCTGGGTGCTATGAGTCCTCTTAGTGAATCATCGAAACTGGAGGTGGTCTTGGGGACCTTTGACACCACTTAGGTGGCTGGTTGACCTCAGGTGAAAGAGTCAAGCAGGCTTTGGGGAATTGGTTTGCCAAGGCAGTGACTGAGATGAAGCAAGAGGTTGAGGGTCAGGGAGACGGCTGAAGCTGAGAAGGCACAAGGTATGTCTGATGCAGGTAGCAAAAGGAGCCCAGATGGACCTTGGCTGCTACCAAATGTGCAAACTGCTGAGTGAGTTGGTGTTACTTTGATAAAATGGTAACAATTCTATCTGTCTTGCAGGGTTGTAAGGATTGGTATAACATATGACTTTCATCAGCTTGCTGACTTTCAGGAAAAGGCATCTTAATCCCTTATCTTTAGGCTGTAGTGTTTTGATGGACAACATAGAGTTAAGGGGAGGAGGATGGAGAGAGTGAAAATGCAGCAGTGAGTGAAGATTGCCACTGTGTGTGGAAACTTCATCGGTGTTGGAATGGAATGTTCTGGCAAGATGGCGCCTGCTTCTAGGAGATGTACTACTAGGTTTTTCTGGATATAGAAGTGTTCCCAAGACAGTTCTCTTGGAGTAAGTCCAGCAGATTATTATATTTCTCAGTTGCCACTTCCAGATATTGGCCATTTTGGACTTGACCAGCCGCAAACCGTATAGGACATTCTTATCAGGCTACATTTCATTTATCAACGAGTGTTAGAATTATTTGACTGCAAGCAACAGACTTCAACTAACTTAAGCAAGAATCCGTTATTGAATGGCTTCAGAGTGGCTTGCAAAGAATATAACTGAACAACTAGGCATCAGGCAGGGCAGAAACCAGGGCAGGTCTTGGTCCCTCAGCAGGTGGATGAATCCCCTAGAGAACAATCCTTGGATGACAGCTATAATTGCTTGACTCTCCTGCTAGTCAAAGCTCAAGGTTCAGATTCCCTGGAGAGGGCTGTGATTGGCAGCTCAATAGAAATACACCACAGGAGAGAGATTTCTCTAAAGGAAGGAGGATGCCATTAGCAGGAGCAGGTAAGACGTTGACTCACACCTGCTTTTCTGACAGGGATTCTGCACTATGTCCAAGCCACCAGGTCAATCTGCTTCTGTGACATCTGAAGCCTGGTGCTATCAGGCTACCTTGGGACTTTGTCGGATTTGATCTTTTTCTTTTCTCTTTCCTGACAGGGTCTCACTCTGTTGCCCAGGCTGGGGTTCTGTGGCATAATTATCACTCATTGCAGCTGCAAACTCCTGGACTCAAGTGAGCCTCCTGCCTCAGCCTCCTGAGTAGCTGAGACTATAGGGGTGTGCCACTACACTCAGCTAATTTTTTAAAAAAATATTTTTTGTGGAGATAGTTTCTTGCTATGTTGCCCAGGCTGGTCTCAAAATCCTGGCCTCAAATGATCCTCCCTCCTCAGCCTCCCAAAGTGTTGGGATTATAGGCATGAGCCACTGTGCCTGGCAGACTTGGGCACTCCTGAGTGTTTGCCTTGTCTCCTTGGTTCTCCCATGCTTGCCAAATCTATGCAAAACACATTTTGGGGAAACCCCCTAGGGATGGTACTGCTCTCTTGTCACCTAAGGTTATACCTTTGCAGAGCCTCAATGGCACTGTCAACCTTAGTGCTTGTATTTTTCATGCCTTTCTAAGCCTTTGAAGATACTCTGCCCTCCGCTTGAGGTGCTTTTTACTGTGCTATAAATGCCTACTCACCTTCAAGCTCAAATGTCACCCCTTCTGTGAATACCACCCTGCCTGAAGTCTGTAGTTTAATGGCAGAGGCTCATGTAGAATCCAGATCCCTTGGTTTCCGGTTAGAGTCGTTACAATACAGGGGCTAGTAATTAGAGCTTTGGAGTCAAATAACCCTTGGTCTGAGTCCCAGTTCTGCATTTATGCTTTATGTAACCTTGAAAATGTTCCCTACCATCTTGAAGACTTGAGTTTATTTTCTTTAAAGGGGATATTAACAGTACCAACTTTGTATGTTCAAGGGAAAATTAAACTAGGTAATGTATGTAAAGTGGTTTGCACAATGCGTGGCACGCAGTAAGTGCTCAATAAAAGTTAGCTATTATTGTTGTATTGTGTTTTGGTCCCAGGAAGATTATGTAAATGAATTAAAGTATAGAAAGCTTTAAAATCCTTAGGGACAAGTAGAGTAACCATAACATAAAAAGACTGAAGAAGCCCCAGGGAAGAGTCAGCATTGGAAGTCTGTTACTGCAAAAGTTGTAAACAAACCTTAAAATACTAATTAAGCAAGTGCATAACTCACTATCCTAAATAATGAAATATGTGTGGCTGTTGTTCATGGTTCAAAATAATAAATTCTAAATTAGTCACTCAGAGCATTATTAATAACTAAACACAGTCTGCAAAGAAGTTAACGTTGTATTTTTTTAATGCTCATGAATTTTATAATAAGAGAAAATATCAAAAATAGACCCTTTTGAGATTAGTACGGATCTCTAAGATAGTCTGGTTTTGTAGGAAGATTATTGGAGTTAGAATTGGAACACCTGTTTGAGTTCTGGCTCTGCTGGTCATCAGCTGTTCAATTTTGGGGAAGACAGCCTTTCTGTGTATTTCCTCACATAGGTAATCTACATGAAAGGACCTTAAACATTGCAAAATGCTTTTTAGACTATAAACTGTAGTTTGATTCAAAAGTATCCTTATGAAAACAAAGCATTCATTCATTCATTCCTTCCTTTGCTCTTTCATTCATTGATAGACACCTGTTATAAGCTTAGCGTGGTAGAAGTTGCAATGTTGGATCAAAAGCCAGCAGAAAAATGTTATGTCCATTCTTAGGAAACCA